CGGTAGAATCCCAACCGGCAGAATAAATATTACGTAAGGGCCTCGCACGTTACGTGATATATACTAATCTAGACTAAATTAAACAGCGGTTACGTAGTACTATAGGATAGATAGCCTTAGGCACCTAACTAGCTAGATTACGTGATATATACCGATCTGCTCCTAATTAGGTGGCGGTCACGTGGTACCTATAGGATAGATAGCCTTAGGCACCTAACTAGCTAGATTACGTGATATAGACCGATCTACTCCTAATTAGGTAGCGGTTATGTGGCACCTATAGGATAGATGGCCTTAGGTACCTAACTAGCTAGATTACGTGATATAGACCGATCTGCTCCTAATTAGGTGGCGGTCACGTGGCACCTATAGGATAGATAGCCTTAGGCATCTACTATATCCTTAACTATATAGTTAGCTAGGTAGATACTAAACTAGGTGCTAAACTGGGTAGTAAACTAGGTGCTAAACTAGGTGCTAAACTAGGTGCTAAACTAGGTGCTAAACTGGGTGCTAAACTAGGTGCTAAACTGGCTACTAAACTAGGTGCTAAACTAGGTGCTAAACTGGGTGCTAACCTAAGGCCATCGAGATCTCTAGCGTGTAGTAGCGACCAGAGTAAGCGTGCGGGAATGGTAGAGGGTGAGAGATAAGAATAGATGATATATAGAGGAGAGAGTTATTAACTAGGCGGCCTGATACCTCTATTCCGGGCGGCCGAAGGCCGCCCCTCCCCCCGGGAGGGGTCCCCTGGAAGGGCCCCCGGAGGGGATCGCTTACTATTACTACTAAACGCTTCCCTCCGTAAGGACTATCGAGAGGCGTAATGCCATCGAGATCCCTAGTATAAAATAGCTTTTATATTACTAAAAAAAAATTAATAATTATACTAATTCTTTATTATTATAATCTAGCTTAATAAATAAAGATTAAGACTAATACTTCTAATAGAGTATTTAGAGTAGTTCTTTTTTAGTATTATAAAAATAATAATTTTTAGTATCTAATAATTTTCTTTTTAAAGAGTATATAGCTTATAAAATTAAATTATAAAATATAAAATAAAAAACTCTTAATAATTATTTATATATTATAAAAATAGTAATCTAAATTTAAAGATTTAATATAAAAGGATTATTTTAAGATCTTAATAGATTATTAATCTCTTAAATATTTTATAATAATAAGATAAATAAATTAATAGTAAGTAAGATAAAGTAAGTTCTTATTTTAGTTCTACTTTATAATTAAATACTATCTTAAAAAGAAGAATATTATAGTTAATATCTTATTATAAAAAGACTTATTTTATACTAATAATAATAGATAAATAATATTTTTATTAAGAAGTTATTTAGAAAAAAGTATTTATCTAATTAATTTAAATCTAATTAATATAAGATCTATAATAAATATTATTAAATAAGTTAAATAAATTAATTAAAAAAGTAATAAGCTAGAAGATTTCTAATAAATTATTAAGAAAAATAATAATTAAAAGTAGATAATTAAAGAAGATTTATTCTTATTTAAAAGACAATTTAAGATCTTAAATAAAAGAGATTTATATATAAGATTTTTTAATAATATATATTAATAACTATTAATTATATATCTTAGAATTAAGAAACTAAAAAAGCTTATTTTATTAAGATATTATTAACTAAAATAAGCTAATAATATAAAATAATATATAAAAAACTATTTAATTTATAAATAAATAAAAGCTTAGCGAGATTATATATCTAAATTATTATATCTTTTATTTATTCTTAAAAGATTCTAGTAATATATTTTAATAGATTTCTACTTATTCCTAAAAGATTATTATAATTATAATATTATTTTTATAATTATTAATCGACTAAATAAAAGACTAATTTTTATTCTTTATTATAAAAATATTAATATTAAATAAATAACTTAACTATTTATTAATAATATAATTTAAATTATAGATATTCCGGAGATTATTATATTAGATTAAAAAGAATAATTTATTTTAAAATTCTAGATTAAATTCTATTAAATATTTAGAATTAAAAAGAAGTTATTAATTATTTATTATTTCTAAATTAATAAATAAAATAAAATTATAAATTAATATATAGCCTAGAGATTATAATTATATATTAAATAAAATTAAAATAATTAATTAGAGATTTTATTAATAATAGATTTTATAATATTAATTCTTTTATAGAATATTATAAAATAATTACTATTTTTTATTAAAAAAGATTATAAACTAATTATATTTTTTAACTAAAAGAATTAAAGTAATCTAATAAATAATAAATAGGATATAATTAATATATTATTATAACTTTAAGATATCTAGATAAAGATAAAGAATTAGATTATAAAGTCTTAATAATAGATAATTTAATAAGTAAATAAGTATTAGAAAGAAGAGGATTTCGATATTAGTAATTAGATTTTTATTATAATAAAAGATTAGTAGTTTAATTATCTAAATCGGAAGTTTTTTTATCTTATTAGCGGATCTTATAAAATTATTAAAAAGATCGGAAATACTTATAAGCTTAATCTTCTAGAATCTATTAGAGTTTATTTAATATTTAATCCTAATAAGCTTCGAAAAGCCTTATTATTAGAACTATTATATAGATAGTATCTAGATCCGCTATTACTAATTAAGATCTCTAAAAAAGATAAATAGGAGGTAGATAAGATTATCGATTTATATCTTTATTACTAGAAGTTATAATACTAAGTTTAATAGCTCGGCTATAACCTCGATCTATAATAGTATCTTATAGGGAATTTTAAGTATATACCTTAGAAAATTTAGGATTTTTATAATAATTACCCTTTAAAGCCCGGACCCCTAATACGCCTATAAGCCTAGATAGACGTAGCTAAAGACGAAGTCTTCCTTAAAGACTATAGAGATAACGATAAGCCGGTATTTAGGGGCTAAATATATTCTTAGTCGGGGGTTATATAACGATCTATAGAGTTTTCTGCTAGTTGACTCCGCCTATAGAGTTTTCTACTGATTGTTTCCGCCCTTAACCTAGGACCCACCCTATATTATCTTTAGTCCTATTGTTGATTTCTTTTTTCTTTCTTTTCTTTTCCTTCTCTATACTTATTGTTCTAGTTGAAATGCACTCTTTTAATTAAGAATTGGCTGGTAACAAGTAAAGAGTAGATCTATAAGTACTAATAAAAGCTTAGTTCTACTCTCTATCTAACTATTATTACTTACCTAGATATAATAAAGGTAGCTAATTACTTAGCCGAGTTTTTTATAAACCTAGGTTTTAAGTATTAAAAGGTAATAAATTAATTAATCTAATATCTTTATAATACCTAGTTTCTTATTCTTAAATATTATCTTATATATTCCGCGTTTACTCTCTTCTTCTTAAGTAATACTTTCTTTAATAATTATATTAATCGGAAAAGTTTAAAAGGCTTCTTTTATAAGCTTTTTAGAGCTACTATTAACTAAAAGATAAGTAAGTAGAAGATAGTAATAATATTAATTATAGAGATAGAGCTACTTACTATTTTAAAAGCTAATAAGATAGCTATATAATAAAAGAGGCTTTTTTATATAGTTAGTTTTAATTATAATATTAGATTCTTAAAAAACTTCTTTTAAAATAAGCTTATAAAGTATTTATCGAAGTACTTAGGCTAGTTAATATCTAGTATTTAGTCGATAAATAGATTACTTAATAGAAAGAACTTTAGAGTACTAGAAGGTAGCTCTTAGGGGGGTATATCGACTAGAATGACTCCTTACCCGTCCTATTATTACTAGATTTTCTCTTTATATATAAGTAGGACCTACTTCTTACTTATTAGTAAGTACTTAGGGATATTTAGAGAGAAGACCTTGCACTTCTTAACAAACACACTCATTTTACCACTTACTCGATATAGTAAGATCTTGGTATCAAGTCACTTACCCTGTTCCTTCGTTCGACACCTTCGACCCAAAACCCAATGCCAAGAACCCAAAATTAAAGTTTAGGCATAAAAGTGCCAAGACTTGCCTAATTAGGTATATTTATACCGATTTTATGCATATTTTATGTATTTTGGGTTCCGATGGGTTCCGATGGGTCCTTGGCATGCCAAGAATGGGTTATAAAATGGGTTTTGCCGAAGTCTAAGTATTATTCTTATAATCTAATTGTTTTAAAGTAAATAAATAAACAATAAAATAAATGAAATAAATAAATAAATATGATATTATAGGACACACCCACAACATTTATGGTCCTGTCTTTATAGATTCTTTTTCTTCTTTTTCTTTTCTTCTCTGTACTTAATATTTTTGTTAAATGCACTCTTTTGTTCCAAAAACCTGGCTGGTAACATACTAGTATTCCTAACCAACCGGCTAGTAAGCGGGATCTTTAAGGTCGAACCTAAATACCACTATCGCCGCGTACCAGAGGCGGTCGTCAACTAGCGATAGTGGGTTCGTAAAGAACGCCCCTAGGCGCTAGAGCCTCTGGATCGTCTCAGCAGCAATGGTAGGAATTTCTTGCTTCTTAATAGCCTGGATAGCTAATAAAACCCTACCCTCTTGCTCTGCTAAATTTTTAGCTGATTGAGAGCGAATTGGTGGCATGGTAGGGGGTTGATTTAACTAAGCGCTAATTTACTGGACGCGATTTGGTTGGGGTGGCGGCTTGGTGTGAAATACGTTAGCTATTAGGACTACCCTAGTTAGATTAGGAATACGAAGGATAGGCGATAAATGGAAGAACGGGACTAAGCAAACGGGCGAGCCGAGGAGTTGCCTAGTTACGCCTAATTAGGATGTAGACTCCCGTCTATAAACGGAGGAAAGGGATATATATATAGAGCTAGTCACCAGGCCTACCCTTCTCTCTCTATCAATAAGATTCCGCATTGCCAAGTGCCCACTACCACCAACTGGCTAGTCGTAGATGACACTGTCACAATTAGTAGGAAGTATTCCATGGATTTTCCGCCAGCCGGAATAGGTAGACCTTGGTATTCTCGTATACCAGGAAGGTAACCCACGTACTTGGAAGGACCCTGAACAGATTTGGACCAAGACCCTTATAGAAACCCGCAATCCCCTCTTGGGCCCATACCTGGGAAAAGACATCAATGGCCCCACGGTAGATCAGGTGGGCCTCATAAGTTTGCAACCGGGACCTAATTACTTGGTAAGGATACGTCACGCTGCCAGCGAAGACTTTTGATAGACCGGAGATGACCAAAAAATCAAAATTACCCAGTGCCCGCTCGGGGCCCAAATGGTTGCTCTCAATTGAGTCCTTGGTATTCATCGACCGGGATCTGAAGAGTTTCAACTGCTCATATGCCATAAACTGAAGGGCACCATGGCTGACGCCAAATAGGGCTGGTATGAGACCTCGGTAGAAGCCGGGTATTCCTTCCATCTGGTATATCTGTTTGGCCCCGGATGCAAACGAAGAATATGCCCCTGGAGCATGCGAACCTGTTGACAACATGCGAGTTTTGATCACCCAGATTGGATTGGTGAGGACCGACGTAATGACGCCTATGGAGTTCCACAGGTTAACTGAGGAACAGAGAAACGATGCTGAATTGGACATGAGATGTGCATACCTGCACTGCCAGATGCGAGAAGATAATCAGACGATGTGAGAATCTGCTCCCTCTCCTCGCGATAGGCTCGAATAGTATCCTTCAAGCTGCTGTAGCATAAAAAGTACAACCCCCAACTTGTGGAATTTCCGATAAGATTGGGGGTAAGTCCTCGGTAAAAAGCGGCATAGCCACCCTCATGAGAGAAGATATTGCGAATGATTCGTAGTGAACTCCCAAATCGGGAAGATGATCGATCGACTACATATATGAAAACAGGGTTAGTCACTCTATAACCCAAGGGGAACCAAGATAATATTGAAGCTTGCCTTGTAGCCTTGTTTTGACCATGTCAAGAGGATGTAGAGACAGAGTTGACACAATTCCCGCTGTGAATCCTGCTACGGTCTCCACAAAGGATGACGAGAAGCCATCTTGACTAGTCATGAACCTGCCTTTAGACAAAGATACAAATTCGAACAGCCCAGAGATAGATGGAGACACTGGGGGAGAGTGTACGGAGAATGATGTCAGAGCAGAGGAAGATAAAGAAGATAAAGAGAGAATTCCAAGGATGTCAGAACATGTGACCGCTGAGTAACTCCGTATGGAATATATGTGCACCACAACACACCTTCTGCATTTACACAAAGCTTAGTGTTTAGTGTTTACTATGAGATATCACAGGATTACAGCAATTCCGTACCAAAGCAGACAAATATTCGGCCAAAGACTTTAAAAATACAAAACCATCCAGCTTTCACAAGCTTCAAACAGTGGTATCCAGAGATTCAAACCCATTATTCCTCACAGAGGGCTCTCACAGAGGGCTCATAGAGAGAATAATCGAAAGGTCATCCAAGAATATACTGGGCCATATCCATCCAACCCACATATCCAATATCATTTCTCCAGTCAACACGTAGTTTACGCAAGAGGCGAGAACAATCTAGGTGTCAAGTTAGTCATAACAGCTGGAACCCAAGGAGTTTTGAGACATACCTGAACAGTGTTGGCTTGGGCTCGCTATAGGTGTAGCCTATGGTTTTTCTTTTGGTTAACTTATTGTGTCAAGAACACCAAGTGTATATACATACCCAGATACACGATCAGAGGCAAGTATCCACTAGATGGTTATCGCTGGTTAGCTCGGAGGATGGCATGAAGGTGATACGAGGCTCACTAGTGGATTGCAACCCGAGAAATATCGATGACCTTGGAGACGCGCTCCTAAACAGATTAAAAAGAGAGAGTTAGAAAACCGGTCTCAAGGAGGATCAGATCGGGTTTGCGACGAACCTTGGTCTCCTCTGAGAATTGAACCATTGTGAATTTATGAGAGTGAGGTTAGGGAGGATTTAAAGGAGATCAAGGAGAATAAATTGGAGTTTGTTCAAAGTCGATCCAAAGGAACAAGTGGGAGATGTGGTTGATAGGTGAAGTGGAAACAGGGAGGATTTGCGGAATCAAAAGTTTTCGGGAAAGGTCACTGATCTTCCCTTAACTCTCCGGCTTTCCCTTCACTTCAACACTTTCATACCTCATTACCTCTCCACTTCCACTCAAATTAGTCTACTTTGTTGCTCCAAAGTTTTTACCACCGGGAATTTCACAGCTTATCAATTCTACTTGGATCTTTGAGTCCTTTTCCTTCAGGGGGAGCTTTTCCCCCCCACCCCTCTCCAATTAATTCACTGGCGCCATGTCGAACGCAAGGCATTGGTAAGACCCTCTTTCCTCATTATAGGATCCTGATGCTAACTCAACCTAGGGAACAAGATAAAGAGGCAACCGTTTACATTGGAAACCTTGATGAACGGGTCTCAGACAGCCTAGTATGGGAATTGATGCTGCAGGTTGGGCGCATTGTCAATGTCCATCTACCCAAAGACCGGGTCACGCAGTTACATCAGGGGTACGGGTTTGTCGAGTTCATCAGCGAGGAGGATGCCGAATATGCATCAAAGATCATGAATGGAGTCCGTCTCCACGGCAAGCCTATTCGTGTTAACAAGGCATCAGCCGATAAACAAAAGACTGTGGAAATTGGCGCAGAGCTGTTTGTGGGTAATCTTGACCCTATGGTTGCCGAGCAGGTTCTATTTGATACATTCAGTCGCTTTGGCAATCTTGTCAATCCCCCTAAAGTGAGTTCTTCCCCAGTACTAATAAGGTGGACACCGTTAACAGTGTGTCTTTTATCATCATTATTAGATTGCTCGTGATGACAATAATCTGTCCAAGGGATACGGATTTGTGTCTTTTGCCGATTTCGAATCCTCGGACGCGGCCATCTCCAACATGAATGGCCAGTACCTGATGAACAAACAGGTTTCGGTGCAGTATGCGTACAAGAAGGATGGGAAAGGCGAGAGACATGGTGATGAAGCGGAGCGAATGTTGGCAGCCCAGGCTCGCAAACATAATGTACAGCCACCCACTCAGCAACCTCCGCAGTTCCCTGGCGCTGCCCCTGGTGTATCAGCAACGCCTGTTATGTCGAACGGCGACAGCTCTCGACCCTTGGGCACAGCCCCGCCTCACACGCCCGATCTAGGCATGAATCGGGGTATGCCACCAGCTATGCCCTACCAGAGTGCACCCCCTCCAATGCCCTACCAGACCGCTCCCCCTCCAAACCGACATGTTCCACCTCCCGTCCCTTCACTCAATACCCCACCCCCCCGGACTCCCAGCCCGACCCCCGCCTTCTCAAGCTGGCTACGGCGGCCCACAATCATTTTTACCACCTGGATTCAATGGTGCAGGCCAGCCGCCCTTCGTCCCACAGGCTGCAACTCCCCCTGGGTTTGCGCCGCCTGGATTTGGACCACCAGCTGGGGCGCCTTCATTGCCACCGGGATTCCAACAGCCTGGATACGGAGGCGCTCGGTGATTCCCAGTGGCTTTCGATCTTCTTTGAAAATCAATCTCCCCCACAAAAGCTATGAGCCCTTGTCACTATTCTCGTTACTACGGGAAGTAGAATTCTACCTTTCTTCCCTTTTTTGACATGATTTGATGACCCAAGAACCAAACCGGTGGTCCGTGTGTTTGATCTTCTCATCTTGTGTGGCTACCTCGAACATGTTTAGCCGGGGTGGGGGGTTGGATCATTGACGCGGACTGGCTGTTGGCAGTGCCGGATGGTCACATGTAATATTAAGTGTCTATTGGACACGGAGAAAAACAGACAGACTTGTTGTTATTTTGATAGCACGTCAACTTAATAGGTTTCAATTGCCATGGATCATTCACAGACACAAGAAATCTACCGGCCGAAGTGGTAAGCCGTAGTAACCCAAGTGCTCCGATAGCACAGATGAGATATTACTGGGCAAAAGACATGACCTGTTTGTACGGACTCTGCTAGCAAGATGTCCGCTTTCACAATGACCAAGGAAACATTTTAGGATTGGCGACATGGTTGTAGGCTAATCACGAAAAAGAGACGAATTTGGGGTCCCTTGGCCGGCCGTCAGGCCCGATGTTATTCTTTGCAAATCGTTTCTCCGTGTATATTCGCCGTGCTTCATCAAAATTGACCTTTCGGCTCTTCATAATTTTGATCACCTCGGTCTTTGCTTGTTGGTCCAAGCCAGCCCTCGAATCCCCGCCTGCAAGATTGGTAGTAATGTCGAATTGTGACGAGCTGAGACCGGCCTCGAGATCGGCGGTAAAACTTGATGGGAGGCGATGATAGAGATAATCAGGCACTTGGACTAATGGCATCCATCGTGACCGAGTAAGGTATAACGCTATAGTGTAATTAGAACCAAACTTGTTATGAATGATTGCTTTGTTCCCTGTGGACTTGGAAAGACATTTGACCTACCTGTCCCGCCGACGATAACTGAAAAGAGTAGGAAATAGAAGAGAATGTAGGTCATGATGGTGAGTGATACCGGTGAAGATTCCGGCGTGTAGTAACTAACGGTAGTATAGAGTTGTTTTGCGATACTGCGAGGTAAGGAGAAGTAATTCGCCAAAGAGCTAAGAGATGACTTGTCCCATCAGGCAATAAGCGGTTGATGAAGAAGGCATAGGAATATTAGAAGTGGTTCTAGAAAGGAGAGTTTGGAGGGGGCAACGTCAGCATCGCGTTCATATTATTGGCAGCCTGGAGGTCGCCGGATGCTGTCAGTTATGCCTTAGAAAATAGGCAACGAGGGATGACATGATTCAGGTATTCAGGTATTCAGGTATTAAGGCACCAAGGCATCAAGGAATCAAAGCTATTCCTAAAGTAGCCGCCTTAGCGAGACCCCGTCGAATCTGAGGTCTTGGCATTCGAGACACACACAATTTGATCGACGTGAAGACGGTTTTGATAGTGATTTCGATCTTTCAATTCTCCAACTCAACATCCCCTCTCATCACAATGGCCTCAAACATCTCCAACGATCTGGTCTGGCAGATCACCCGTATGTCCGATTCTCCGACTTTTTCCTTTTCGAACTTTTATGTCATAGCTTTTGGAAACCGAACTCTAGCTCATCAATCTTGGGAATAGGCAACCAGAACTCCTTCCTGGTTAACCGCAACTCCGGCGGTGGCTTCCAGTTCTCCCGGGACCCCATGAACCTGCTGAACAAGCACTCCTACAAGGTACGGGCCTCGGGAATTAGACGGAATGGATGATGCTCTCCGGGAATGCATGGCTAACGACGGACCCTTCTGGGCGCATTATAGTATGCCGGTTATGCCAACAACAAGGTAATTATGCTCTACACTGCTGGTGTTTTCCCCTTTGTTTTCTTAAAAAGAAAAAAAAGGAAAAAAGGAAAAACAAAAGAAAAGAGTATGTGGCGCTAACTATTATACCTTCAGGCTGTCGGTGTCCAGGCCACTGAGAACGGTGTTGCCGTGACCACCAAAAAGCCCAGCAACCCCCAGCAGCCCGCTCAGAACGTGGTCACTGTGACCTACGGTCCCAGCACCTCCACCCGCAAGTAAGTGGAATGGAATTCCTTCTTCCCCCTCCCAGACTTGGTTTGGTGTATGTTACTGTCACAACCCAGTGCTAATCATTATCTGCTCTTCAGGATCTACAAGGGTGTTGCCGACAAGACCGCTAAGAACAGCTACCGTGCTGATCTCCGTGAGGAGGCCGTCGCCCGTGTTAGCGCCGTCCGTCGCTCCCAGCTCCCCAAGAAGGATACTCCTGCCCAGAAGCCCCGTGGCGCTAAGGCCCGTAAGGCTGAGGAGTCCGAGTAAATTTGGCTCGACATGAGACTGAATTGTGAACTATGAAGGATCGGGGATTTTGGGGTGGGGGGAGGAGACTTGATAAGGCGTATGTAAAACGCCATGCTGGACTTGGAACCCATGTAATCTAGCAGTCTTGCCTCCCAAGGTCCAGAAAAATCAAAATACAAAATCAGTGTCCTCTCTGATACCTTCTAAAGAAAGAGAAAAACAGAGAACAATGTCCTGTGAAATGGAAACGGAAAAGAAATTAGCCAATTAGCCAATTAGCCAATTAGCCAAGGGTATATATTCACAACCGACTGGTCCGAGTCACAATGTCTGGTTTAATGAGAAGATGATAGTCCGCATTTTCCCGATATGACAACCCGGTATAGCCCGGGGGAAGGGTGGAACAGTTCAGGTTAAGGGAACGAGAATTACCGGGGAGATCATTTGGATCAAGTATTGTATTGGGGATTGAGGGATTCATGTTAAGATATTAATAGTTAGGATAGGATATACTAGTTGGCCAAAATATCAGTCAAATATCAGTCAAATATAAGCCAAATAAAACAATTAAATATAACTAGATATAACAAGAGATAACAAGATATAACTAAAACAACTAAACCAACGAAAATCAAGGCCAATAAAGTGATGTCGACATAAAAAACACCCGTGGACCTCTCCAAGAAAGATCTGGGGTTGCCCCTCTCTCTCCCAGCACTTGCCCCTCTTATAAATCGTCCCCCTCTTCAAGCTTCCTTTCCTCCCCCATATTCCCCCCCATATTCCCCCTATCCATCATCTTCTTCTTCTTCTTCTTCTCCCTCTCTTTACACACATACACACATACACATAATAATTCATCATGGTCAAAGCTGGTATGTTATTCGCTGGTGTTTTGATCCATCATTTGCTAATTTGTTATTAGTTGTTCTTGGAGCTGCTGGTGGCATTGGCCAGGTATGAACAACAACAACCCCCCCAACAAACACCCAACTCATTGAGTCTCTTATTATGAGCTCAACTAATACATCATTTAGCCTCTCTCCCTTTTGCTGAAGGCGTGCCCTCTTGTTGATGACCTTGCCCTCTATGATGTTGTCAACACCCCCGGTGTGGCTGCAGATCTCTCTCACATCTCCTCGGTCGCCGTACGTATACTCCCGAAGCATTGCGAATAAGCCTACTAAAAAAAAAAAATGTGGACTAGAAAATCACTGGTTACCTCCCCAAGGATGATGGATTGAAGCTCGCTCTGACTGGTGCTGACGTTGTTGTCATCCCCGCCGGTATTCCCCGTTAGTAGATCCACAGATCGGGATGTGGTGTTGGGTGTTTTGCTAACATCCAGGGTGACATCTAGGTAAGCCCGGTATGACCCGTGACGACCTTTTCAAGTTCAATGCCGGAATTGTGAAGGGTCTCGTCGAGAGCATCGCCGAGTTTGCCCCCAAGGCTTTCATCCTCGTTATCTCCAACCCTGTGAACTCTACTGTCCCTATCGCCGCTGAGGTCCTCAAGGCTGCGGGTGTCTTCGATCCCAAGCGTCTGTTCGGTGTGACCACCCTGGACGTCGTTCGTGCCGAGACCTTCACCCAGGAGTTCTCCGGCGTGAAGAATGCCGCTGATGCCACCATTCCTGTTATTGGTGGCCACTCTGGCGAGACCATTGTTCCTCTGTTCAGCAAGGTTTCCCCCAGCTTCCAGATCCCTGCTGACCGTTACGAGGCTCTTGTCACCCGTATGTGAACAGTCCTTTCTGTGGGAGGCATTTGCTGATATTTCACAGGTGTCCAATTCGGTGGTGACGAGGTCGTCAAGGCCAAGGAAGGTACTGGCTCCGCTACTCTGTCTATGGCCTTTGCCGGTTTCAGGTATGTTTCGTCCTGTTAACCCCGGGCTACCACGGTCACTGACAGATACTAGATTCGCCGAGGCTGTCATCAAGGCTGCCAAGGGCGAGAAGGGCATTGTTGAGCCTACTTTCGTCTACCTGCCCGGTGTTGCTGGCGGTGATGAGATTGCCAAGGCCACCGGTCTTGAGTTCTTCTCCACTCCTGTGGAACTTGGTGTAAGTCTTCAATTTTCCAGTGTGTTAAGACAACTAATTGACATGTTCGATCTAGCCCAACGGCGCCGAGAAGGCCATCAACATTCTTGACGGTGTGACCGAGCAGGAGAAGAAGCTCCTTGAGGCTTGCATCAAGGGACTCCAGGGCAACATCGAGAAGGGCGTTGAGTTCGCCAAGAACTCTACACCAAAGTAAGGTTCCCTCCCCTCCCCTGGTCGGTTTGTCCACCACGTATGTCGGGTGGATCTCTTTGTGTCGGTAGACTTCTCGCAGGTTTCTCCACGACTGCGATGACACCGGAAAATGGCAGAGCGTTGCTAATCAATCTTCTCCCGGAAAGATAGGCTTTAAATGTGAGACCACGAGTTTATGAACAATGAGCAGACACGAATAGTGTACGGTCCGAAATCAGATGGGTCAGGTTGGACACACAAATATAGTAACCAACCTGCGAATGGAAAGAAGTACAGGTTTCACCGTCCATATTTGCGCGTTTGCAGTATCCTGTCTCATGTAACCAAGAGACTTTGGAATGATCCAAGATCCTTGTAGTAAATTGAAGGAACCGGAACCACAAGGTCTTTGCAAGATGGAACTGTCATAAGTCATAGATTAGGCGTAAATTGGT